ATATCAAAATCAAAACATAATAATTATTAAGACACGACAGGTGGTTTAACGTCGACTGTGTCCAAAATAATTGCTAAAATCAAAATATATAAGGATATTTTATATAAAAAAATATCTTTCGGAAGGAATAATTACTAGATAATTATTAAGACACGACAGGTGGTATCACGTCGACTGTGTCCAAAGTAATTCTCTGTGATACACAAAGGAGACTGACTATAACGAAAATCTCCAAACGAAGGCATAATTGTACTTGAATACGACCGGAGGTCTCACACCAACAATAAGGTCAGAAGAATACAAAATCAGGGGCTTGAAGAAGGAAGATCTATCAAAAATATTCAAGGACTGACACTTCTCCAAGAATATCTTTATTTAATTATTAAATTTTTATCCTTTTGAAAAAAAACTACATATTTAAATTTTGTATATATATACATATATATTTATTTTATTTTTTTTTCCTGTGGAACAAAGTTAATTTGTTTTACTATACTAAATAAATATTTAAAATTTATGAACTCTGAATAAAGTATTAAGTAAATAAAGAAATTGAAATAAAATCACAGCGCTTTGAATATTTTGGTCACAATCTATAAATTTATTGTGACGACTTTGGTGAGACTGAGCATACCTCAGCAAATAGGCAACGACTGCGAGAAAGGGTCGTTACAAGCTTATCTGGTACCAAAACTTCATAACTTTGTTTTAAAATTAGTTGATACTTCTAAGTGCTGTATATGAGAGGTGTTGAAGAGTTATTGCATCATATTCTATTTAGAAATTATTATTTCTAAAGGTACTCAATCACCGATTAACCTCCGCATCTATCGTACATTGCTTAATAAAACATGGGTGTTTATTGATCGAATATCAATTGATGTAGTAGTCTCTTCAGGAACAAAGATTTATTTTTGTTTTTCTACCACTAATGCAAAAACATAAAAATGTTCGATCTGTGACTTCCAGAAGTCAGTTCTAATATACGTTATTGTACATATGAGAGTATTAGGGATGAGGGAATATATGTTTCAGTTCCGATTCAAAAGAGCAGATTATTTCCTTATAATAGACTGCAGTTAACATAATAACGGAGTGTGTTAGATCCGAAAACATATACAAGATTTTTTAGCGATACTGGCTTTTTATGATAAACTAAGAAATGCAGGACTATTCCATTTTCATGAATAAATGGGTAACGGCCCACAGCTGTAAACTTTTGGTTTAAAAAAAAAGTTATTAAAATTATAATTGTCTATGTTTTTTTATTGAATGGGCGAAACATGGTTAGTTGTCCATAGGCACCGAATTTCTTTTATGTGTTTAGTACAGGCACGTGTGTAAGCATCTCACCAAAATGAATCGAAGGATTATATTTATACTTATGTATATCTATCATTAATGCTATTATTACTGTTTGTTAAGATGAATTTTTTCTTTTAATTAAAATTAAAATTTTTCACCAAAAAAGTTAGTTATATGATTGACACGAGATTAAGATATTATTGATACTTAAGTATATCCACATCCATGTAGTTACATCTTGTTAAGTTAACATACTGGTTTGTCAAACTTTTCGATAAAACGGGTTATGACTAACTGACTCTTCTTCTTCATAGGAAAAAATATTATGATAATTATGCTATTAAAAGCTCTTATATGCTTTCTAATAGCACTTTTTAATGAAGAATTCTTGATCATTTTATCTATATAAGTGTAACATGAGTTGACTGTAATGTTGTAAAATAATATATAATATTAATATAATATGTGACAATGGATGTTGGAATCAATGAAACAATAGTTTACGGACATCACAGATATTGAAAAGCATCAGTAAGACTTGGAAAGCGTAAATGCTTTACTAATTTCATTAAAAAATAGTGAATGCTATTCCGTTATATATGTATGTTTTACACTTTTTGCCTAAATCCGAAAAAAATGATACTTTGTTTATAACAGATATTCAAATTGACTTCGTAGACTATCTTTATTGGTATTTTTTTTTTTATTTATTTAACAAAAGTCAAAAGATTAAAAGTCAGATCAGAGACTTGTGAGATTATGTTATATATATCAAAATATTAAATGACAACTAATATTGTTCTCTGTCAAATTGAAAATGCTATTGTTATACGAGTTTAAGTATGTACTACAATTAATTTAACGATTAATTTTGACCAATGATCTGGGAAATGGTGCCAAACCTTTAGTGTTAGTTGTTGACCATCTGGGGCATCGATTATATATTTCATTCTAGATTTTTCTAGCTTTGCTAATGTTACAACTTAGCTAAATATGTTAATATAAATAATATAGTATATAGTATAATTCTTAACATAATTTATGAATTGGAGAGCTATATTTCTTTGAAGGTGGACTACTGTAATAAATTTATTTACTATATGTTATTTGTTCCATTATAGTATAATATATAGTACATCATTATATATTATATGGTAGAATATAAGTTATAGTATAGGGTATTTACAGCACATAATATACTCGATTTTAATTGAGTACCAGTCAAACGTTCCAGTTTACAGACTTAAAATGAATTCAGTACATTTAAACTTTGACCAGCATAACTGAGTGTGACATTTATTATTTCAAGATCAAATTGAAATGTTGATTGGATATACATAATTTAAGAGTTTATCTATGCAAATCATTTATGCAGAATTAACGCGTTAGCTTCAACCTTTAATCTAACATATAAATAGCTTATAATAAATTAGTTCAATTATTATTACGGATAACAATTAAGAATAAATTGAACAAAAAATGCGGAAAATTAATATTATTGCTAAATATAGTATTTTACTCATAAACTTAATAAATTTAGTAAATGGTTATCAAAGAATCGGTAATAATATGAACACCCAAAGACAAAATTTCGAATTGTTGCAATTAATATTCTAATATTAATTAATAATTAGATAATTAGAATAATTTATTTTTTTATTTTAGCAACAAAAATGTTTTAATAATTTTATATTTTCTTTTAGTTCATCCGTATAAGTTAATTTATGGACAAAATACAACACAACGGATTGTGGGTGGAGTAGATATACCAAGAGGCACTTACGTACCGTACCAGGTTTCATTACAATACCGTGATAGAAGTAACGAGTTTCACCATTACTGTGGTGGTTCTGTTCTAACGGCGAAACATATCTTAACTGCTGCACATTGTTGTCTTGGCTTGAACCCTAAACGTATCTCTGTTTTAGCAGGGGTAAGAGACTTAAGAGATAAGACTGGGCAACGGGTACAGGTTGTGTCATACGATATACATGAGGATTATCAAGAGTTGTTCACAGCAGATATTGCAATACTACGTTTGGATTCGCCACTTCAACTGGATGGTGTAGCAGTTGCACCAATTAGTTTGAGTGGTACAAGTAAAATTGGTGGTGGTGTTCGAGCCACACTCACAGGTTGGGGATTACGTTTACCCGTACCTTTTCCGTTTTTACCATCTCATTTGGAAAATATTAACTATCCTACCACACTACAAACTATGAACTACAGCACTGTTTCAAACAGAGATTGCGAAAATAGTGGTATTCAGTTAACTCCTGCTGAAATATGTGCCAAAGGTTATTTCCTCAGAGGCGCCTGTTCCGTAAGTTTTTTTACATATTCTGTAAACATTTTTTAATGTATTTAATATTTTTAAGGGTGATTCTGGTGGTCCTTTGGTTATACATACTCCAAACGGCTTACGTCAAGTTGGAATAGTTTCTTATGGCTTAATTATTTGTGGAGTTTTTGATGTGCCTGATGTGTATACTAGAGTGTCAGCATTTCAAAATTGGATAACAAATCGTATAAAGTAGATCGCTGATGATTTGAAATTGTCAATTAATTATAAAAAAATTTTTTGAAAACGTATTAACTATTATTTTATTTAATAACTGCTGCAAAAACCCTTATTCTTCCGTAACATAATATTACAATATTCCATGTAGATTTTTGCTTCATATAGAAATCTGATACACTCTAAACAGATATTGTTTATACTTTCTTGTAATCCCACAATAACTAACTTTAGACCCGAACAAATCAACTACTATGCTTAGTACAGGTTGGGATTGGTTTTTTCATAACTTATATTGAGACATAACAACGCCACTTAAGTGATGAAGTCTTTTTCTGTAAAGAACTGAGCTATCGCTGACCATTTTATTAAACCATAGTCATAAGCTCGAAGAGCCTTGACTTATTTAAGTGATAGAATAAGTTGCAGTGACTTGTAATATTATCAGATTAAGTTCTTAAGTCTATCCAGTCTAGCGAAAGCTTCTTATTCAATATTCCCTTTACTTGTTTTAGAAATCATTTCTTAAGCTAGTGTTCTTAAACATGTTAGGATATCTTTATTTTGGTTAGGTAATCTGTCATTTAATTGTCTTCATGTTTGGATATCATTTTAAAATTACTGGACTGAAGTTCCTTTACATATTGAGAAGGTTTAGTTAATCATATACTATATTTGAGATAGTCGGTATAGTCAGATTTTCAGACATCTTTCCGCCACCATTCTACTTTTTTTCTAACTTCGACCCATCTATGAATCAAATGTGTGAACCAGTTTTGAAAGAAATAGAATTTGTTCTCAAGACCTCACTTCGTTGATAACGACGTGGAAGTTTCTGAAGAAGACCAGTTTTTAGCATGATGTAAAATGGAACTATGAAGAAAGTTTTTTAAAACTTTAAGATGCCAATTTACATTTCTCGTTTATAACTTCGAGAATGTCGTCTGGTCAAAAGGCATCTAGAGCAGATTAGGAAGAGGTGGGATGTCTAAAAAAACTCGTAAAGCATTCGTTTAGGGGGATTTTACTAACCCATTTATACTTATATAAACTAAAAGTTACAGTTTGCTTCGTTCCCTGTCTGCATTTCTTTGTTTGATTTGGCCATCATTTCAGCGAGGCTTAGGTGACTATCATAAATCATAAAGATTGTCTTTCAATATCACTCTCTCTTTATTAACATTAACATATTAACAAATTTAATTATTCATTAACATTATATTTCGGATTTATGTCATTCGTTTTTGTATCCAATCATCAAACATTGAAACACGTGTATACACATCAGGACTGTTAGTAGCACAAATTGCAGTACCATAAGAAACTACACCGACTTGTTTAAGACTTTCTCCATTTTGCATTACTAAAGGACCACCAGAGTCACCCTGAATACAATTATTTTAAATTATAATTATTTATTTAACTAATAGTTATGGTTTCACTTACTCTACATGCACCTTTTCCGACTCGTTCCAATGCACAGATCTCAGTATCCGTCAGCTGCGACATAATCAGTTTGCAATTATCGTTTGTTATTGTTTTGTATTCAAGTTTTTGCATACGTGTAGGTAATCTATTGAAGATTCCTGGACCGAAATACCAAAGAGCTCCCCAACCAGTTATAGTGACGGGTTGACCCCCGCCAACTCTGTCGTTACCAGTGACATCTATCTTATCAACCTTTTCACCATCCAATTGCAATGGTGGGTCTATAGTTAAGATAGCAATATCGCTAGTAACGAGTTCCTCATAGTTTTCATGCATCTCATAGGACAGTACTTGTGAGCGCTGTCCTCCTTCATCAGTTAAATCTCTTATGCCTGCTAGAACAGAAATTCGCTTTGCATCTTGTCCGTTTACACAGTGAGCCGCAGTTAAAATACGATTTGGCGATAATATGGAACCTCCACAAAAATGATGTTGTTTACCATCTCTAGCTTTGAATTGCATCGAAATTTGATAGGGTACAAAT